AACGCAAAAGCTGACAGTAGGATAAGACACTAAACGATACGAAAGAGGATCGTGGGACAGTCCTGTAAGTGAAATGCTACAATGCAGGACATAAAACCAGTTTCGGAAAACGACTGAGATTTGGCGAGAGGGAGTTTGACATCGATGGCGAAAGCTGTCATCGTGACGACATTGGCTGCTTACCACTATACATCTCCATCATTTTCTTATGCCTGTCAAATTCATCATTTTTTCATGCAGTCCAAGCTAGATTCTTCCCAAAAATTACGAGAAAAAATGAAAAAAAAAACAAATATTCTTACCACTTCATAGCCAATTTGAAAGATGACAATGAGGACATGTTATCGCCATTCGTGTTCAGATAACGAACATCTCGGGAAGGATACCATCCCCTGAAGAGAAAAATAAATAAAATTTGAAGAGCATGACCTGGACAGGAGAACATACCATTTGTTCTCATTTTCAAAGAGGTAGACACAGATCTGAGACTCTTTTCTATGAGCAGACATTCTACATTCACTGACAAGCTCGCTTGGCAGACCACCATCAACTCGCGCGTCAACCGGATCAATAACTCTGGAAGAAAAATGATGAACTGATTGAGAAAGCGATGAATCAGAAAACAAAAAACGAGGGAACACATACCGTCCAGCGATTCCGTCGACAACGACAAGATCGTTATGATGATATCCATCAAAATCACTCAAATCCTAAAACACCATCTTCAACCAGATATTCAAATTAGCCATAACTAGGGAAGCCGCGTATAAAAGCGACCGCAGCTGATAGCCTGATTCGTAAAAGCGGTAAGCATGCACAAATTGATGCTAATGATGCGAACACTCGAAAATAAAATTCTTGTAAACATCCTTTAAATCACTTCTCACAAGGGAGGGACCCTCAGTCGAAACGGGGTTCCATACGTGATGCATATCATTTTGCTGGTCCTGGGACGCTAATACTCATACGTGGTGCATATCATTTTGCTGGTCCTGGGACGCTAATA